TCATAATTATCGTGTTCCAATCAATAGATTCAAGTTCACGAAGCATATTCAATTGATGATGTTGTCTCACATCTCTGAAATAGGAATTTGTCCTTGTTGCTTTAACTATGTTTCGGGGGTATGTGATAACCATATCATGGTCGGATCTCACCAAGCTTTTTACAACTTTAACAGATTTCCAATAGTTTGGGACATTTGTAATAAAGACATCTAATATTTTTAACCCTCTCGTAGGGGTCTTAACGAGTTGGGTAAATGGAAGTTGATTAAGATTAGCTTGAATCGAGCGTATTTTAATTAATGACTTAAAGTGCTGTTCCAAATTGATCCGAAATATCCAACTTATTTGATTGCTCTTCCTTTTTGACTTTTTTTATCATGTTTTCCAACTTATCTTGCAAATTATTTACCGCATCGTATTGCTTTGTGCCATCATCACATGGTGTCTTAAATTTCACCGCTTCCTTTGTATGCCCTTCCTGTATGTTGTCATTTTTTCATTTACTTTCGCGTCAACATTATACTCAGTTACACCGTGCTTGCCGTATATACTCACTTTTTACGATCATATACAAGATTTCCAACAACTATAGGTATTGTGTTGCCACTTGGCTGGCGCACTCTTAAGTCGTCCACGACTCGTGAAACATTCCTTTTAAGTTGTCACGAGTCGTGAAATTTCACGGATTTAACGAGTCGTACGAATTTCGTGAAGTTCACCACTTGGCTGGTGCACTCTTAAGTCCTTCACGACTTGTGAAACATTCATTACAAGTTGTAACGAGTCGTGAAATTTCACGGATTTAACGAGTCGTACGAATTTCGTGAGGTTCACCACTTGGCTGGTGCACTCTTAAGTCCTCCACGACTCGTGAAATATTCCTCACAAGTTGTCACGAGTCGTGAAATTTCAAGGATTTAACGAGTCGTACGAATTTCGTGAGGTTCACCAAGCCAGTTGGCTGGTGCACTCTTAAGTCCTTCACGACTCGTGAAATATTCCTCACAAGTTGTCACGAGTCGTCCTTCACGACTCGTAAAATATTCCTCACAAGTTGTCACGAGTCGTGAAATTTCACGGATTTAACGAGTCGTACGAATTTCGTGAGGTTCACCACTTGGCTGGGTGCACTCTTAAGTCCTTCACGACTCGTGAAACATTCATTACAAGTTGTAACGAGTCGTGATATTTCACGGATTTAACGAGTCGTACGAATTTCGTGAGGTTCACCACTTGGCTGGGCGCACTCTTAAGTCCTTCACGACTCGTGAAACATTCATTACAAGTTGTAACGAGTCGTGATATTTCACGGATTTAACGAGTCGTACGAATTTCGTGAAGTTCACCACTTGGCTCCTGCACTCTTAAGTCCTTCACCACTCGTGAAACATTCCTTACAAGTTGTAACGAGTCGTGAAATTTCACGGATTTAACGAGTCGTACGAATTTCGTGAAGTTCACCACTTGGCTGGGTGCACTCTTAAGTCCTTCACGACTCGTGAAACATTCATTACAAGTTGTAACGAGTCGTGAAATGCTGTTGTATTGGACAACCATCACGATCTGGACTTGAAAACATTAGATTACAGTTTGTAAATGGACCATCCCTATCAAAAATATTTGCTCCACGTAAAGAGAAGCTAAGTTGCCCCGATAACTGTGATACTTGTAAACTAGCAATTAAAACTAATCTATGCAAGGTTAAGAATGCGATCTACCTTATTAATTGTTTACATTGTCATCTGGTCTATGTGGGAGAAACCGGAAGAACAATACGATCGCGGATAAAGGAACATCTCCGAATGGCAAGGGTGGGTTGACTACAAAATTTTTGTAGTTCGCTATAACTACAGCTACTTCAAAAATATGTAGTCAGCTACAACTACTGCTACTTTTGAACAAAGGTAGTTCGCTACTGACTACAGCTACTGCTTAAAAAATGTAGCGAACTATTTCGCTACTTCGCTACTCTATATTTTTTAGTTTTGCGGTATTTGGAGCGTCCAGTAGCTCAGGCTGTAATATAACCTATAACAAATCGACTTACGTGTAGCAACAGTAAACAAAAAGGGTCAAAGCAACATTTTTATAAGCACTACAGTGTTCAGGAGTGCCACTTTTCATTGCGCTAAAATAATCTTTACTGCATGTATAAAATAATATTTTAAGCAAACCGTGCATGTCTTATCATCATTCTATTCTATGAACGGTTGCTAACAATTTTAAAAAGTAGCGAATAGCGATTTGCTGTTTGAAAAGTAGTCAACTATTTGGCTACTTTTAGGCAAAATGTAGTTCGCTACAACTACAACTACTGTTATAAAAAAGTAGTCAAAAACTACTGGCTACTTGAAAATTGTAGTTCGCTACAGTAGCGAACTACAACTACTTCGCTACTACCCACCCTTGCCGAATGGACAAACAAACAGTTCATGTACACCTTAGAACTCACAATATTGACCCACAATTGGCCACAAAGCGAGTCGACAATAAGTTGGAAAATCCTCGATTCAAATATAAATTACCGGTATGAGCGTGAAGTGATCGAAGCACTTGAGATTCGGAATTATTCGGACAGAATTATGAATGGTTGTGCTGGACGTAATATCAATATCTAGTTTGACTAATTGGAACAATCAGGCTTCTAATATATCCTATGGTACAATCAACAATATAGGGTCTAATAACAATCACTCTTTTAACTTAATTTTAAAATTTTTAACTTAGAACTCAAATTAACATTTTTAATAACATTCTTTAGTTTTTACATTCTCAATCAAGCGATAAATGCATGTATATATAGAGGACGATTTTATTATTCAGATTATTGTACTCACTGATGAAGCCTTAACCGGCGAAACGTCTGAGGAATTTAATAAATAATCTGGTTTAAAATAAACCAACCGACAGAAATAATCCAGGCATGCATGACAATCAAAACCTATTCATATATATATATATATATATATATATATATATATATATATATATATATATATATATATATATATATATATATATATATATATATATATATATATATATATATATATATATATATATATATATATATCACTAGGATTATCCACCAAACCCAGCATTCACTATTTTCAGTCAGCAGCTATAACAAAGACACAAATTAATCTCTATCATTTTATTTAACAAAATTATTTCCATTGTTGCCAGAACTGAAAAACATTTTGCAGTACACTACTACGATCAAGATAATCCACACTAGGAATTATAGTCCAGCATAGTCCACAGCAGTGGCCTCACTTCGGGCTTTGTTCATTGCTGGAAGTTCTTCCCACACTTGACGATCCGGGTCAAAACATTCCACAGAATTAAGATATTTCTTTGTGCACCAATCATAACCTCCCATTACAATAACTTTGTCACCAAAAACTGTTGCTGCACATGACGACCTTGCATGCCTCATTGATGGCAACATTTTAAGTGTGTTCCCTTTGACATTGTACAAAATGACCGTGTTTAACGAAATGCCATTATTAGCGGTGCCTCCAAGTATGAGCACATTGTTTTTCCATCTTACAGAAGCAACATCACAAATTGCAAATGGCAAAGACTTCATTACAGAGACTTCATTAGTTACTGTATTATATGAAAAGACAGTGTTAACAGCTTTTTCTAATGTACCACTTGGCGATCCACCAAAGATCAATAGGCAAACTCCGAAGGCCTGCAAACCATGAAAACAAACTGCTTGTTCCAGTTCATATTTCAATTCTACGGTGTATGGGGGATGAAGTAATATGCTGTAGATGGTGTTGAAAGGTGTCTTCCCAGCATGTCCACCAACCAAATAAAGACATTTGTTAATTACAACAACTTTATGCCCACAACATTTACTAGGCAATTTCAGAGGTAAAGGAATCCACTTGAATGGCTTGCAGACTGATAATCTTTCTATTCTATCACTACAACCTTCAATGGACCGTCCTCCAATGACAATGACATCATTTCCATACATTACTGATGCAGCAGAACCACGGGATTCTTGCATGGGTTGCAACACTGTCCACGTCTGAGAACCCGGATACAAAACCTCAACTGAGCACAGGTTACCCTCATTATTTCGGCCGCCCATAGCCATGATATGCGTGCTGACATTGGGCGAAGGTAGTTGTGATGGCGTTGTCATGTTTTGTTTATCATCTGCTAAACTTTCTACTGAGTTCAGTATTTCTTTCTGCAAATCACATATTACTTGTTGGGAATAACACATTTCAGTCAAAATGTTCTTTACTTTTGACCATTCCAGTCCCATTTCGTTGAGATCCTTACTGATTATACATGCATGCTTACTGAACTTCTTATAAATCATGTCATCCTCACAGTCTGAGCAATGTACCAGTCTGTACTCACATGCATTGATCACGTGTTCAGTCAGATCTTCTTGGTTGAATGTTTGTCCACATTTCTCATTTGTACAAACAATGGGACGGTAGTTACACTCAGGAACATGTGCTTGTAGTCCTGAAACTGGTAGCACCTCAGTACAACCTCTTTCCGAGTGATCGCAGCTAATCATAAGACCATTCAAATAATCTGTAAGAATCCTAGGAGGCTGAGCCAATGTTTCCTCGCTCAGATCTTGCACACCAGCACACATATAGGGCATGAGTTTGCATTCTTTTCAAGGTGTTTCTTTACCCAGTTCTTGCAGAAATAATGTTGATTTCGACATTGTCATTAAACTGTTTTTCTTTTAAAAACTTCAACGCAAAGAAAGCTTTTATCCACAGACTGTCAGACACAATAATTTCCAAACGATCTGTGACGTGATCTCCTGACGCCATTTTCAATTCAAACTGAACTAAACCATACTGAACTATAAACATTTTTCAAAAAAAAATTCTTATTACAAGTGGAAACACGCGCAAAACGAAATATTCTGATTGGATAAAATAAGCACGTGATTTATCAAGCTGAGTTGAAAATAAAAAAAATTAAAAATATAAAAATGGAACCAGTGTTTGGAACGCGGAAAACGAGAGAGAATACTGTCAATCTCTCAAAGAGGAACTTTAGAAATTAATTGTTGTTTGGGCCAAGATACACAATTAAAAAACAGAATTTCTAGCCATACTTTGAGGGAGTCATCAAGGAGAACTATGGTATACGCTGAGACTGAAAAGGATGTGATATTTCTGATCGAAGGAACTTCCAATCTTGGTTTACATTATGGGAAATTCAAGCCGTATCTTGAGAAATTTATTGAGTAAGTGTTCCTGAATATATCTTGTGGAAATAATGTTTGATCGAGATGTGTATTTATACTTTAGATCATGTGGCGGACTGTTCTATATATAAGTCTGTAACAAACATGAAACATCATAACTGGCAGCCGGCTATATTAATATATATACAGTACTGTATGAATACGGGCAGTCACTATGATATTTGTTTTAATTTTGAAATCTCAAAAATGTTTTTAATTTTGAAATGATCAAATCTTAAAAACATATAAAAACAATATATGAGGCGAGATCTTGCCACTTTACGAACAGGATTACAGTGAGCTACTGTAGCTGGACAGCAGCTCAACTCTCTTCGACCTAAGATTTGTATCATTTTTTTAAAATTTGACTTCAACTAAATGCTGAACGTCAGCATTTAATACACTTTAAAATGTGACAGGCTGCAAGGTCAAATAGTCAGAGGGCACAAACTTAATACTTTAAATAAGTTACTGTACATCAAGTTAAATATTATAGTGTTTATTAAACATAATATTGGCTTTCGTAGCTGGTGGCATACCATGTAGATGTCTGTTTTTATACCATCCCTTTTGTCATTCCTCACTGGGGGCAGTCTTGTTTCAGCTGGCTTATAGCAAAGCCACAAAATTGCTTTCCCTGGGAACCAAAGGTTTCTCATACATGACCAGGTTGGAATGTGTGGGTGTTACACTGGCTAAAATGTTTTTGATATTTTTATGCCAACTGGTGGCATAAATCTTACTAACAAAATAAGGATGCACTTGATATGATATCCAATCTGATATCCAGCTGGATTATGAGCGGATTTCATGGTTTTAGCTTATGGGCCAATCAATTTATACTGTTAACATCCCTCCCTGGGCATACCCCTGGGCATTTGAATATTTTGAAATTTTGTGGTCACCATCAATTTTCCATTATTTGTGGGGCATTTGAACAACATTTTTGTCCTGGGAGTGAGAAATTTGACTGTAATTCTATCAGTTCAAGTTTGGAATTATGTGAAAACATACACTGACAGGGTTTTTTTCAGGATTTTCTCTTGGGGCCGTTTTTGCAGAGAAGATTGAGTTTCGCTGAACAAATAGGGGTCTGGGGCGGCTGTCTCCCCTCCCCCTCCCTACCGGGAGGCTGAAACCTGTGCTTACTTTAGTGTCGTTGAGATGCAATATGTTAAAGCAGGGGCACTAAGGGACACTATAAACTGGTTAAAGACGGCGAATGTGTTGTTTTTCTTGTGTTGTGAAATGATTTCCAGCCATTTTTTACTTAATTTTCAGGTTTTCAACTGAAAACTAATTTGCACACGTCATGAATTTAACTCGGACAACTTCATTTTACTGCACAGAATCTTTTGATGAGAAGATTGAGTTTCAAAACTCAATTCAAGATTGAGTTTTTACGGCCCTGAAAAATCCCTGAAAAAACCGTGACTGAATTCTGAGGGTTACAACAGTTTAATAAATGAGACTCTGTATTAAACAACTTACACCTCATGCTTTATAAAGTTTCCAAACAGTATTTAAAGTATACTCTATTTTGAATTTTTTTTTAATTAATTAAAAAAAAAATTTAATATAGTCTCAGACCTTGCGCAGCCTGACATGTGTTTTCATATACTGTAGTAACAGCATCTTATTTCCCATTCAATGTGAAATGGATGATTTTTCCCCCTTGTGAATCGTGATAATTCACTGCTTTATTTTGTCCACTATAGCTAGACAATGTGAGGATTATATTAAAAAAGTTTGAAGTCAATTTTCACAAACTGAAAACTTTTTAATAGGCAGATGGTCGATTTCTAAATGACTCATCTACATTTGCCAAATGCAAAAGCAAAATCAGGGTTCGTAGTCTCCAAGACCAAAAAATTTCAAAGACTTTCAAAGATTTTTTCTGCCTATTGTCAAAGACTTTTCAAAGATCGTTGACAGCAATCAGGTCAGTCGAAAAACTGCGATGTATAAGCACCATTTTTACCAGGTAATTAGTCCAGTCAAATCACATCCTAAAATGCACTTTTTCGTCGATATTTGTGAAAATCTTGCTTCAATCAATCTATTTTATTAGCTAGGAAATCGTATAATTAAATAATCACTAAAGAATTTAAAGACTTTTAAAGACTTTCTTCGCTTTTTCACACACTTCAAAGACTTTTGAAAGACCTTAAAGATATGCATTCAAATTTAAAGACTTTCAAGGATTTCAAAGACCGCTACGAACCTTGGAAATATGTATAGGTTATTTTGAGGCAACGAGGGGATATGTGATTTATTCACCGAGGCGCGCAGCGCTGAGGTGAATAAACACATATCCCCGAGGTGCCTCAAAATAACGTACTTATTTTTCACAATGCGAGGTCGCGTTAATGAGTCAGAATAGAAATAATTCTTAATAGCATGTTGCCTTCGTGATGTTGTTTTTTCTCATTTTTTGTGCTGCAAAGACATTGCAGGTGAATATTAGAGGGGATTATTAATTGCAGGTGAATATTAGAGGGGATTATTAAACGGAAATTGATTAGAGGTGAATATTGAATATATTCCCCGATAAGAACAAAGGAAACCGAGCAGGGTGAAAAATAAGCTATCATAATGTGCCAATCAATTATATCTTGATTGTTAACATCCCCCATGGGCATATCCCAGCCGGGCATTTGACACCTAGCTCTATCCCCCAGAGTGGGGAATTTGATCTTTTGAACTGCTGTTAGGGTAGGACATTTGACGCTGAGTTGCAAGACATGGGGCAATATTTGACCATTTAATACACCAGGCTGTACAGTTGCCCATCTCTGGGCTGGCTTCTATTGTAATATGACCGTACTTCCTTGTGCACAACTGTTAATAGAGGATCAGTTTCAGGACCTGATGGTGTACATTCAGACTATTAGTAACTTTATTTAACCCAATTGTCTTGTATATGGAGTATGCTTAATCAGTTTGGTTTGATTTTTGATTCAGATATTTTAATGAAGGACAAGTTCCAGCTGAGGAATTAGCTGCCAACGTAAGTACCATTATTGCATACTGTATACAGTACAGTATCCCAAAAATGTCCCCCACAATAATTTGTGGTATTACTATAATGTTTGGTTATTGTAATTCAGTGACTACATTTGCATCTTTTTCAGTATGGGAACACAAACTACTACTTAGTGACATATAGTACAAGAGATGTATATCCTGGCTCAGCAGTCAATATTCTCTGTAGAACTAAGAACAGTCGTACATTCCTGGAGAAAATCACCAACTTCAGATGTCATGGTGGTGGAGGGGAGTGGCATGCTTTGCTTGCTGATGGCATGAGTATAGCTTTGGAAATATTTGATCCTTTACACCAGGGTGGGGTGAGAGAGTGCAATGTCCAGAGATATTGTATTATTGTGGCCATGTCACCACCCTCCCCTGCTGCAATAAGTCTGGAGGGAAATCAATTTTGTGATTTAACTATTGAAGAACTAGCAGTTAAGATGGGACAGGTAAGCATTTCTGTAATGCATGGCTTTTATCAATTGTAAAACTATGTGTTGTTAAGAAACCATTTCCAGTTGTATACAGTATGTAATAATGTATAGTTGTTGAAATCTGAGGGGCAAACACACTGTTAACTTCATTTCTGCTTTTAGCATGGTGTAAATCTTTCTGTGATTGCACCTCATAAAACACCAATATTTCAGAGTATTTTTGACCAGGTATGTTTATCACTTTATCATTATGATAAATGTACTGTAGCAATTATGCAACACAAGCTGAAGGTGAGCGGTTGTATATCTGATACAACACAGACGCTGATACATATTCAAATACAGTCCATGCATTATTTTACTTATTTTTTAGTCAAAATTTTACAGTGTATGTTGATTGGCCATGATGCTGGCAAGCTAGCATGGCTTGTGTTAGCGGTCTTACATTTACCAACCCATTAATTAACTTATATTTCCTAGGCAAATCCAGATAACAAAAAATCATTCATTCCAAAAGATTTTGTTAAAGAGAAGAATCATTTAGTTTGTCTTAAAGGAATTGATTTTCATGGTAAGTAGATAGAATTGTTGGATGTGTTCATGTTATCACAAGCAGCCCACCAAATGTACTGTCACCGACTCACCATCACCAAAAAATAGGTCCAGGAAAAGGAATCGCAGGGCTTCAGATTCTATTCCTGCTGGAGGGTCTGTAGTTTCACAACTGCTCCTGGTTATGTGTAATAAATGTTCAAAAATTCCACTCGAAATTTCCATCAACAATTCCCTTCAACACTGAGTTCTATCGAGTGAGATGTGCAAAATCCTGAAAATTCCAAATACTATACACTGTGCTCATGTCGTCATTGAGCTTTCGGAATGATCCGTGTTTTCAATAGCCAAAAGGAAATTACTTGATCTATTATTAAATAAATTTAAAGATGCTGTAAAGTCCGTAATGTAAACAAACACTTTGTTTACATTTTGAATTGCTGTATTTGTAAAATATGATGCACTAACTGAATATATCTAGCACTTTTCTGGTCCGCAATGCTTGTAGATGAATATAAACTCTACGTTTCAATTCAAAAAAGTTCGAAAGATGCAAAATTTGGGCAATGTTTATATCTCCGGGTCCTCCTTTGTTATGAGCAGAACTGATGCGCAGAACGTACTTTACAACATCTTTAAGTACTTCCAAAGCGTTTTCAGTTGTGGAGACTGTTACTATTGTTCCCAGTAAACTGCGAAACGACCGTTTTTTTAGGCGGTTTGTCAGTGACAGTTTTGTCAGTTACGAAGGACATATTTGTGTACCTCGTGATCACAAGTCATTGCAAGCGGCGTGTGAAAAACTGCAAGTTTCAGTTTGAAAGTTCTGACAGTTAAATGGTTTCTAATTTTATTGTCCAATCAGGTGCGTAGTTTTGATTTAAAATTCAAAACTACGCATCTGATTGGACAATAAAATTAGAAACTCGTTTAACTGTCAAACTGAAACTTGCAGTTTTCACACGCCGCTTGCAACGAATTGTGATCACGAGGTACATAAATATGTCCTTCGTAATTGACAAAACTGTCACTGACAAACCGCGGTTACCGCCTAAAAAAACGGTCATTTCGCAGTTTACTGGGAACAATAGTAAATAGAATTCAAACATATTCAAACTTTGCCTCAAATATAGTCTTGTATTCACTCCCCCTCCCCTAGAATCTCTCTAACCCCTCTAATAAATTCTTATGATAAATATGGGAATCAACCCCATCAAAATTTCACCCCAACTATTTTGTGTAACCCCTGCCAAAGCTCACTGAGTGGTGCCGCTTGCACCCCACCAGAAATTTTTCTACCCCTCCTTTTAAATAAGTGAAAATCCGCCCTTGTTTGTGTTCCATCAATGTAATGTTGAGGTGTGATTTCTTGTAATAGTGTCAGAAGATCATACAGTTCATGCTCCCTCCATCCAACCATCTATTCAACCTCCTATGCCCATAAAATCTGAATTACCCATCAATATTCCAGAAACTGTTGTTGAAGGTAAGCACTCTCTGATCTAGAAATAGAACTCGACTGAACTTTTATTGTAGAAGCCAGATAAGACCGGAAGTTCCGAATTTTTTTTCCCAACCACGGTGCTGCTTTCCAGTCTTCGACGAGCAAAAACCGCCACCAAAACAAAAATGGCGGGTTCTCGAACATTTCAGTGGCTGGAGTCTGGATTTTATTTCACCGAATGCTGAAAGAAGAGATTTGAGCGGCATTGTCAAAATCTTCAAAATTAAAGAAACCGCATAAGATTCCAGAAATTAACGTGTTCCATTTGATTTTCAAGCAAGATTTCCGGAATTTCCGTCAAATGGAAAGCGCGCAACAAGCCTCCCATTATTTTCAAGGCCTGTCACGCTGTACATAGCGTTCCATTCTGCCACTCGCTGGACATTCCGGAAACGCAAAATGTTTTTTTTGTTCAAATGGAAAGCGCCCACTCAAGCAAAAACCCCCTATGTAAAACAGCTATACTTTAAAATAATTGCTTTCAAACGTTAATCCGTGTGTTAATTTTTGTATGCATCCAAGCAAAGCGGTGTCCTAGCAACGATATTTTGTTCTAAAACTCAGTACGATTTCGTATTCGTGTTGCCCCCTTTTTTCGCCCTAACGTTCGGAGTGTTTTAAACCAACTGTCTCGCTGGAAAGAGAATTTATACCAAAACGAGCCACTTTAGTCGGGGGAGGTCTTTTTTACCAGGCCAACTTGGCAACCAACTATCTTCCAGTATACAGTCAAGACGACAGGAGAGCAGTTTGAAATTCACAAGGAGAGTCATATGTGGAATATTTGAGAAATGAACTTTCAGATGAACAACTTAGGCATGTTTCAAACGTCGCGCTTCCCATGTGCCCAACGCATTAAAATCAGCTGAAATGCCTCATTATCTATTGTTTCTGATGCATTCAGCACACGAGTAGCGCGACGTTTGAAACAGGCCTTAATCATGCAATTGTACTTGCGAGTAGCGAGTTGATTATAAGAATAAATTCATTTAGTTGGCTTTGTTATTGGAATAAATATTGTTGAAATATTAGTAAACAAAGTAGCCTCCTCCGCAGGCCTCTCTATGAGTTTTAGCCTGCGAATGAGTTTTGAAAAATTTTTCCGACCACCCGATTCCTTGAGATGCCTGCAGAGGAGGCTATAAACAAAGTAAGAAACTGCCGTTCTTTATGTTCTCGCGAATTGAATGGGTACCTCATTATTATTCGAAGCTCGCAGTTTGATATACTGTAAGTATTGTAAGGACCTCAACAATAACATAATATACACGCATTGTGCACATCATGCCTAGCTACGCTCGCTGTACACGCTATATGCCTAGCTACGATCATTATTATTCAAATGGCGGAAGCGTGACGTCATATGGCGGGAAAATTATCACTAATATGTTTTTCATCAAGATTGTTCTACACATGCGAGATTTCTGACTCGCCATGCTTGGCCACTGAACAACTATTCTTAAGAGTTTCAAACATTCACTGGTTAAAAATATATATTTGGACGAGCTTTCGACTGCCAGTCTGCAGTCTTCGGCGGGTAGATTAAAGTGAATGATATTACAATTATAATATACGGACAAAACAGACAATTATTGACAGTTTCGCCTACGTATAGGATTAATGACTATTTGCATTGAAGAGAATTTAAAGTTTGTAGAGTAAATTTACATGAAATAGGTTTGTGGACAAATTTCAATATTTCATGTAAATTTACCACCATGCCTGTGCATCTCTGTAGATGTAATTTTGTCAGTATATCGTAATTGTAAACCACTGTAAATATCACATCATTCACTTTAATCTACCCGTCGAAGACTGCAGACTGGCAGTCGAAAGCTTGTCCAAATAAATATTTTTTTAACTGGTTAGTGAACGTTTGAAACTGCTAATATGAATAATGGTTTCGCATCTAAGGCCTGTTTTATACGTCGAATTTCGGTCGCGTCGAATGCAATTCAAACAATAGATAATGAAGCTTAATGAGGTTTATCATCTCATCTATTGTCTTAATTGCATTCGACGCGACCAAAATTCGACGTATATAATAGGCCTAACATCTTTAAATATTCTATTATTCAAACGAAATAATTTCCTGCTACCAAATGTCGTCTGGCTCAGCCAATCAACGCGCGGCGGCATCCCTTTGATCTGAAGGGGATCCTAACGTATATATATATATATATAGTAGGTGCATGGTCATTGCGTGAGATGTTGTATTGGTTGCATTTTATGTCAGAACTGTCCGTAGCCATGTTCAACATACAATTACAAACCAACATTTTCTTTGAAGTTTCAGATCAACCTCAACAACAACCAAAAGTGGAGCCTGGTACTAATGGCGGTAAGTCTTCACTTATATTTCTTCAAATTCATAATGAACGTTTGTGAACAAACAAGTTTCATATTATTCTGACACTGCAATAGACCAACCAACATTTCGTTGGCTCGAGCGGGATTTGAACTCGCTGGCTTCTTCTGATATCCAGACCGTGGTCTGATACTCGAAGATGCGAGTTCAAATCCCGTTCGAGCCAACGAATTTTTCGTTGATCTATTGCAGTGTCAGAATAATATGAAACTGGTTTTTTGTACCTCTGAGGATGGTTCTGAAATAGGTTTGTAGACTGCAAATTTCAATATTTCATGTAAATTTACCACTATGCACAATTTTGAATTATTTTGTGACGTACAGCGCAATAGATAACTACCAGGGCTGAAAATGAAAATTACTGCGAACTCTTTGGAGTATCTTTGCTTGGAAAAAGTAAACTAGAATTTCGTCCTAAAATGTCATTTTATGCCTTTTTCCACGAGCGAATTATTTCAGCCATGGTTTATAGGTTTCTGGCGATGTTTAAATTTCAGTCCCCAAATTCCTACCGAGTCAACTGATTCGGTTGACTCTGCTAGTGACGGGCCTGAAGATGATGGTTAAATTCAGGAATGTTAACAACTTAACAACATTTTATCACTTTGATATATAATTGCTTGTTGACCACCTACTGCAGGTAGTTCTTAGGGACCTTGCACTGGGGGGGACAAAATTGCCGACTGGAGGGGCCAGTAAGAGGGCTGGGGAGGACATGTCCTCCCCAGTCTATATTTTAAAAGAAGCCCTGCGAATATTAATGAGTATCATATGTCATCTGTATGTACGAGTATTATGAACAACATGTGTGCATCCGTGCGTACGAATCGTACTGTTAACAAGCTTTTGCTGGTGGGGATTCAACTACCTGAAAAATATAAGCAAGTGGTTGCATCTCTACCAACGAGAGCGTGTTAATAGTATTGGCACTACTACACTGGCACAGACAGTTAGGTTTATATGTGTACTGTGCATGCATATACAGCGTACATTTTTTACCGGGGAAAAGTGTGTTTAACCGGTTTTTAGTCTGATGTTACATACGTAAAAACGCACAAGCAATGTTGTTCCAGACTTGTAGCAATGCTGTTCCAACAACTTGTTAACAGGAATTCGCACTGCTTGTTCCCAACTTGTTGACAACTTGCTACAAGGTTGTTCAGCTTGACAGACTTGCTATAAGTTGTTCTAAGAACTTGTTATCGTCCTACAATTCAACAATTTGTCAGGCGCAATATATCAGTGTTGTTCAGGGCGGCCCGAGAGAATTCGCGGGGCCCGGGGCAAATCTTCTCTGGGGGCCCCATGACATTATTTTTAAGCTAGACCCAAGTCAGTCACCCAACTAGACCTTAGCTAGACTACATGTGGAGCTACTATAAGGGGCCTTCGATTTCCAAAATGCTCTGACCAAAAAGAACCTACTTAATTCTAGGCTCTATCTCTCAAGTTAGGGCCCTATTAAGGTGGGGGCCCGTGGCATTTGCCCCCCCCCCCTCTCGGCGGCCGTGGCGTTGTTTGCACGCCTGCTGCGAACACATGTTACGTACAAGTTGTGAGGTTTTTCGTGTGTACTTATTGAAGTATTTGATTTTCTTAAAGGAAATGCAACTAGTGGTGGGCCACAAATGCTAGCTTGGACTGGTTGCTTAAAATGGCAAGAAACGGTAACTTTTTCTCTTTGATTCCTTGAACAAGTGTTAGACGCATTAAAATACTGTAGCACGTTGCTCAACTTTACTGCACACCAGGTTCAACGAGTTTCAGAAAAACGCTGTTTGGTTTAATGTATCCTAAAAACTAGAGCAGCTGGTTACACTCAAATACATGTAGGTTCTGTTATAGTCACTGCCGACTAACTTACATTTTAATGTACTATACTTGTACTTTCATGCAATTGTCAAATTAATGGGGGGGGGGGAGACAAAGGGTGTTTTAGAGTTAACAAATATAAAACATTTTCCGTGTTGATATACAATTATATCAACACGAGTGGAATTGGGAAAACGAGAAATTGTATGGAAACACGACGCCCGAAGGGCGGAGTGTTTTCATACAATTTCGAGTTTTCCCAACTTCCACGAGTGTTGATATAACTATATATCAATACGGAAAAAAGTTTTATATTTTTTTTATAATATAGCAATGTCAAAAGCCCGAAGGATAAGAAAAATTTCCGTGTTTACAAGCGGCGGAAAATTTCCCGTGTTGACATTGAGTTATATCAACACGGCTCTTAGCCAATCAGCGTTCAGAATTTACAAATGCTATATTATAATAATATATATAAATCATATTAGGGAACTTATTAGCAAGTGACGTTTTTGTCAACACGGACGTCAGATTGCCGTGAGGATTGGATTAAAAAATTGGATTAAAAAACTGTGTTTGTGTCAGATTGTGGTAATCTTCTACAAATCTGACAAAACAAAGTTTTTGCTTACTTCCACGGGCGCTATGATCCAAAATGCCGACGCCTGTGTTGACAAAAAAGTCGTTTGCTTAACCGTGTTTTGCCTGACTACGATGATAATTGTACTCTTTAATCTAATCTAGATTCGTACAGATGCTGGTCCAAGTACTAAAGTAACGAGAGTTTTATCTTGTCATGTTTCTACGCCTCCTGCTGATAATTTGTAAGTAGAAATAACTGTGACCACCTTGCATGAGATTTTGTTTATTCAGCTCTTCTACTGCGGGCAAGTGATGCTTTGTTCAAGGCTTGTCAAGGCTTTTGTAGATGGAAATTTCTGGTGTGAATTTTCTGCATTTATTATTAAGCCCAGGGCAAACTAGGAAACATTGTTGCGGAAACATTGTTTCCTACCATGTTTCCCAGAGCGGGCAAACACTAGGAAACGTTAGTGAGAAACATGCAGGGAAACATAAAATGTTTCTGAAGTTGGTAGGAAACATTTTTGCTTCCCGGGAAGCAAATTTTGTTTCCGCAACAATGTTTCCACGGGTGGGCAAACATGAAAACATTTGAAGAAACATCGAGAATCACAAGTGTTTCCGCAACAATGTTTCCTACTTTGTCCACGGCTTTAGACCTAACCAGGAACAGTTGCGAAAAATGCAACTATTATCATTTACCCCAGTCGGCGAAATATTAATATGCGAAGTGATTATATCATCACTTTCGGGTAATATGTCGCCGAATGGCCCGAATCCCCCGAGCCGAGGGTCTATGAATGATTTATTATACCGAAAATTAAAAGCCTCCAAGTTGAGAATGTAAAACTTGCCACATACTGTACCGTCGCTTTTCTTTCCAATCCCATATCACACATGGCAACATTTTTCAAAATTTGCTTCAAGATTTTCAAAAAATACGAGGTTTTTTTTACGTTTGGAGTATATTTTGTCGGCCATCTTGTTTGCTTGATCACCGCACGTGGTTTTAATACAGCCTCAGGTATCCGTTTGAAGTCCTGGCTAATAAAAATTTGAGTATGGCCAAAACTGTTTTGCTCTACTGTGGCTATTAATTGATGAGCGAAGCGAGTATGCAAAGAATGGAAGGTCGAAGCTTCAAGGGCGCTGTGAGTTGAGTGGTGGGCAAAGGCTTGCAAGCTTTGTCTATTTGGTATATTGTCTGAGTGTAAGACCGGGCTAAAAATTTCAGGTTACCATGACTGCAAGTACCGGCGAATTACACACAGCCTCTGGCGAATGGCTGTCAAATGTCTTCTTAGCGCTGGCGAAATTCGCCATTCGCCGGCCTAAAACAAGATGGGTAGGTTTACGCGAATCACGGCACCCGGGTGACATGGTCATGTGATATGATTCAAGTCGCCCTCTTACGTCGAATATGATGACGTAAGGCGCGATTCGATGATAAATTTCATGCTCACGTGGCACAAACGTATAGCTTTCTGATTGGACACTTTGAATTTGAGGTATATTATTAGAGTAAGCCCTCTGGCAGGAATCCAACGCTCGAAATTTCCATTTACCAAACCCTTCAACAATACGTTGTATTAAGCGATATGCCCAAAATCCTGATCTTTTCCCAGAGGTCCTTTCTGCGTAGATTTCAAATCCTTGCTTTCATCTACGTCGCCATCAGTTTTTGCTGAATGTAACATTGAAAAATCCCTCAAAATAGAGAGTTTTTCTTAAATCTTTTTTTAATTTTTTCTCGCAGGCAAACTGATAAATGGCCAAAAGAACTCGTAATGCAACTGATACCTCAATCATTGCTGGTGAGTACATGCCAATATCATAGAATCATTCTTGACAGAGAACAATTTCATTAACAAGGTGTTAGCTATTTAATTACCTGTTACGCGTGTTTTGGTGATGGTTTTCGAACAAAAATGTATACACAATCTTGGACCAGGAGCAGCTGCGAAAAATGCAGCACGTGGCCCTCTGGCAAGAATCGAGCCTGCGGCTCCAGTGCAGCGCTCTAACCAACTGAGCTACAGAGCACATCTCACTTTGTACTGTAAATATACAATAGAGACTTTACGATTTTAGGACGGCAACGCGACGGCAACGGCTACCAATTGAATACAATAGATCATTGAAAAGAATTTAGTAATTACAATATATGAATAATTTAGACATTGCATGTCCTCGCTCTGTTTACAACGCCCAATCACAGATTTTCACGTCTTGATACAACGGCTGCATTTCAAGCCACAACAAGTGCAACTTCAAACTGGGTTTAGCAGAACTCTTCCCAACCATAAAACCTATGTCTTAAACTTCTAAAACTGTATATTTAAATTCATACAATAATATACCACGAACTATCTTTACTACCATTTACTTGAAGGAGTTTGTGTTGGCCGTCGCCGTCGCGTTGCCGTCCTAAAATCGTAAGGTTTCTATTATATAGTATACGACAACGTATAGGTGAGTTGTGTGTTTGATTGACACAGTACAACTCAAGTTATAAGCAGGTTACATGCGACAGTTTTAGGCAAACGTTGTGTAGTGTAAATCGGTCTTAAACACAACATATGACTCCGGTATGAACACTTGACTGCCACTTTAACGTTCTGAAAGTTTGTCATCTCTATGATGTGATAATTTTTAGTAACGGTATAGTTATAACCTGAGTATCAGCCCCTCAGTATGAAGAGGGCCTGACACAATTCGCCTCTACAGTCATGTTCAACATCCAGAATCTGGATGTTATGCTGATTGGCTAAGAGACGATAGAACGCATCATGTGATTCAAACCGGAAATATATGAACAGCGTATGTAAACACCAAAAATAGAATTTGTAATTTTGCCAAAATAGTGTTAAAAGTGCTTTATTTGTGAAATTTATTTTCAATTAATTAATTTAATTAAGCCCAAAAATGACAAAATAAGTACGAAAAGACGTTGAAGACGCTTTTGCAGCATTATTTTTCTCGGTATAAAACTAAAACTACAAAGTAGAAAGCGTGTCTAAATATCTCCCCGTATAAATTTCGCCGTACTCATATGTCGATCTCGGACATTTTCAAATATTGAGTTCCGCATAAAGGCTAAAGACTTATTTATCAGTTTATTGCCGAGCTGTTTTCCAAGACCTGCAAGGTTATAGTAGTCAGCTCGCTCGAACTAATATGCAAACATCAGGCAGAAATTGAGGGGAATAGCCGCTGTGTCAGACGCAGTTGAAGCGAATAGCTGCTGTCTCTCAATGTCTCGAATATTAAAACTAACATGACACGTGGACCGAGGACGAAGAAGTCCTATTCAGAGTGCCGAATGTTGTCTCTTTAGACTCCTGGAAAAAGCCATCGAGCTCTGGTTCCCAGAATGAGGCATAGTTTACGTTTAGAATTCGATCATGTGGATATTTCGACAAAATCTTCTCCGTATTTCAAATTTATGCAAAACTGTAAATAACGAAAATTGCGTATTTACATAGCGGACAACCGGAAATATGCTACAACCGGAAATAATTTTAATTGGCTGATATTCTCGGGGTGGAAAGCCCGTAGAGGCGAATTGTGTCAGGCCCTCTTCGTACTGAGGGGCTGATACTCCGGCTAGTATAGTTACACATATGTCATCGTTCATTTCTCTTATACATTGTGCTGTCTATTGTTTTTTCTAGACAAGCTTGGGAGGATTGCTGCACAATTCAAGGACAGTGAGTTTTCATTTTGCTGCTAACGACCCAGAATCTCTGAGAGCGCTGTACCGTGTCATGGCGACCACTCGTGTGCGATTTGTAAGTTTCACTTTTTTAATTATTTCAATGAAAACCTCGCGTTTTATCTTAGATCTGGGACTTCATGTTTGTTATTTTCGAAGCAAATTTCATCTTTTTCGTGTCGCCTGCATACTCTTTCCATTATTGTTTTGAATCACTGAACAAGGGGATGAAAACTGGCCAAGTGTTGCTTGGGTATAATCAAGCCTGAAAGTAAATTTCCAAGTGTCAGGTACCACTGAGCTGAATAAAAATATCCCAAAAATATTAACGCAATAGAGCAAATATACTTTTTTCGTGATAGTAACAACAATAAAGCCACTGGCCAATTTTATCATACGGAATCGAATAACGATTTCATTTCCGGCATACATAAAATAGATGTTTACTTGAGACCGCGACGAAATTTTGCTCAGATCAGTCTGAAGTCATTCCGCTCGCTGGACGGTAATGTAAACACAAATACATTTCAGAGAATATTCAGTTCGGTCTGAAGTCATTCCGCTCGCTGGACCGTAATGTAAACACAAATACATTTCAGAGAATATTCAGACTGGTCTCGACTGTCCTTTTGGCTTCGGAAAAATGCATGCTAACAAAAACACTGTAAAAAAATAAAATAGCGGGCAAGTGGGAATAGATTGAAAGATTTGTTTGTGTGAAAATATTCAAAACTTCGATATTCATTGCATCATCGTTCCCAGGGCCTCTCATTCGCGAGAAAACTTGCTGTAGTTTCTAAAGCGCAAAACAATTTTCACAGAGAAGTATTACGAAGAAACGAAGTATTTGTGTTGGCATATTTTGATAGAATAATTTTGTGTAGCGAAAACTGCTCAACTTCTGCGAAATAGCAGTTCTCTGAGAACCCAATCACATCTCTCCCTTTAGTCGTCTAACCCAGAGCCTAATTTTCAACGAGTGGCCGAGTAAAAATGGCTCTGGGGACGAGAATGTATTCATCCCGGTTTCACTTTGTCCCGATCTCATGTATAATCGGGGCCTGAAACAAAGTTTTTCCACATTCCTTTATGCTACCATATCTGTGAATATCGTTTCAGGCTGGATGTGTTCATTTTATGAATGCAGCAGTCCAATGTGATGTGAAGATATTGTTGTTAATATTCAGTCCACGCAAGAGAGCCTTTGTTGGATTGATACCAATTGATCAGGTATTGACACTAGAGAGTGCTAGCGCTCCAGGTTTTGGTCAACATGGACATCATGCATATTGCCAGGGGGTTTGTGTCTGTGTTAGTTTGTGGTAATCTTCAACACATATGACAAAACATAAGATTTTTATAGTTTTTTGCTTCCTCACACGAGCGCTATGAGGCAAAATGCCGCCAAAATTAGTTCTAGCAATTTTCGGGTGACGTCCGTGTTGACAAAACGTCGCTTAAGCTCACTATTAACGTCAAAAACATTTCAGTGTGTTTGATATGGTACGGATTTTCCTTGTACATGCATGACTCATCATGTTACATGGGTGCAATATAATTTAGAGCAAGAGACTTTTTGAAACAAGTACGCGGCCATGTGGTGTCGAAGATACCACTCCCCTGGGGAGTAAGGAGGGTCCAAGGGCTTCTCCCCATGAGTATTTTGAGATTTTGACCCTCTGATATGGCATTTCCAGCAATATAAAAGAGAAATTTTTGAAGATTGTGTCATATCCAAATATGTAAGAATATTATTTAAAATTTGTGTTATCAAAGCAAGAAACCTTTCCCTTGTCATTTTTGTGATTTCGAGAAATAACCGATAATCTTTGAAAAACTCACTCGTGCATGTTTTTTCAAAATTGCACTCGAAACCATACAATTACCTATACAAATATCTGCAGGTACATTAAATAACTGGAACTGTAAATAGCCATGCACGAGTTTCGTCTTAACATAGAGCCTCCTCCGCAGGAATTCTAGGGAATCGTGTACCCATTCGCAGGCTATGATCCATAGAGATGCCTGCGGAGGAGGCTATATCCTGTATGCAGACGTAGATTATTTTCGGGCTGGTCATGTTCAAACCGACGTCCATGTTTTCAGTTCATTCCTGTTCTAGAGTTCTATTTATAAAAATAACCATTTTACATTTCTTTTTGTTGCAGGAGAAATTCATGGCAGCAATGAAGGTAAGTTCGTGATATTTTGCATAAGTAAGGCACGGCGAGAGCACACGAAATCAGCTGGAGGGAAGTAATGAAACGATTAGGATTGTTATCTCGAATTAGAAACTCTCTAACACTTGGGGCAGCAAGATGTGTCTACATATAACACAATATTACAAGCAATATTTGACTATGCTGATATAAGTTGGGGAGCGATGTTACGAACGTGCAATACTGAAATGCAAAGACTTCAAAATAGAGCGGCACGTACTGTTCTTAAAAGTAATCGAACAGAGAATTGCTTCTCTTCGATCAAGTGGCTCCATCTTTCGACAAGGAGAAAAGTTCATAATTTATAAAATTCTAAATGGTATTGCACCAACTTATCTTGGTAATTTGTCAAAAACGTTAATATTCATAATTTCAATACAAGACGTAAGGAAAATTTTGTATTACCCAGAGTAAATAGAGAACTTGGTAAGAAAACTTTTAGATTTCAAATGGCAAAAGACTATAATGAGCTACCAACTGAAATTAAGAATTCTCTAACCTTAGCTAGTTTTAAAAGTAGAATTAAACAACATTATATATCTGAACTGTAAATATGTTTGAATTAATTTGGATTAGACATAGGATTGCATAATTTATGTATTTAGGTAATAATATGCAGGGCCCCTATGCATACCAGCTTAACAGCTGAATGGGCTACCCTGCTAAAATAAAGTCACAACAACAACAACAACAACAACAACAACAACAACAACAACAACAACAACAACAACAACAACAACAGATGTGAACTGCAGATTCATCTCAGCTATCTTTGAAACACGGGGAATCCTGGAATAATAATAACTTTACAACCTATTAATCATTAATATGATACATTAAAATATTATTAGAGGTAAAAATGAAAAAAAAAATTATCTGAAGTGAAAGAACTCCTGTGCTCCGCTGGTAAGCGGGTGACACCATGGATTGTAAAATAACTGGATAGGAAACTGTAGTCACATGACGTGTTTCCATCCCGCTGATTGGCTGAAAGGTCTTTGTTTTTGCTCGAGAGATGTTGAAACCTAGTTGCAAATCGTGATGTCAATGATGGCGAAGTGTTGTTGATTTTCCTATGCTTTTGACTGAGATTTGTTTTACCTTTTTATGTTTTTTGCTTGAAAATGTGTTTGTTCTTGTCTTTTGGTATTTTACACTGATCTATGGCCAAAATGAACCTGCCTAAGCCACACAACAACTCTTAAGGCAAGTGTTCATCTTTATTGTTCACATTATTGTCAGTTTACAACAGAGATAATTGCGTCGCCAATAGCAGCCTATTCCGTATTTTGTGAAAATGGCGACGCATGTTTAGAGTATTTAATCGGGTGTATTTTTAAAAACCCATGGCCTACTTCAACAAGTAGATTTATCCTTTTATTGTGGCTTAGTCATATTTAAGCTTGGTTTTAAATGTGTTTTTTTTTTCGATTTTAATTTGTGTTCTGAAAGCAACTAGGTTTAGACTGTGACGTCCCGAAGTTTCCTATCCAGTTATTTTACAATCCATGGTGACACACCAATCAGGAACGAGCTTACAAATATCTTGTGATGACATATGTTCACCAATGAGTGATAAGCTTAAAATTTGTTTACACTGACGTAATAGAGTGATTAAGCAAGCGACTTTTTTCATTCACGAACGGCGACCGGAAGTAAATCGAGCCGTTGTGGATGGCGACAGTTGGTCTTGTTTGAAATCACGAACTGCTGACGCCATAGTTAACGGTTAAATTATGTGCTGGTGACGTCCGTGTTGTCAAAACCATCACATGCATATTAAATTCTATCATTCTCTCAAAATCCAAGATGGCGACTACCGAGTTGATGTTTTAATACATTTGCAAATGTACATAGAACAAATAAACATGATTTTCGAATATGCTGATTACTGGGATAAACAAGTCATAATTTATCTCATCTGAATATCACACAAGTCCAATTATCTTCGAAAGAAGTTAAGGGAATGAAATTTTCCCTTCATGTGCACTTTAAAACTGCCATGTAACAACAAATTAGTATTCACTGGAACTCTTTGTAAGCCTTAATTTCTTTATATTTTAGAAATTGATTGAAAACCACAAGAAACAGCAACTGGTATGTAGTCTGTTATAAAATAAAGACGTTTCATCTAATCGTTATTAATCATTTGTAGATTGTCTGCATTTTGCTTCGAAAAATGTGTATTCGCTTGTGAAAAATGCGTATTCGTCGCTTTGCCCGCAGGGGACCTAAGCCCGTTTTCCACTCTTTGTGGCACAGATGAAGTATTTACCAGATGTGTAACTTAATAGGACTTCGTGTCCTCAAATTTCCCTAGATGTACACGTCATGCTCACGCCATGACATTTGCTAGCAAATTGGCGTCCTGAAAAACACGAAGTTTTGCGTTTTATTGCGGATTTTTTGGACCGAAATTTATCGATTAAACAATCAAGAGCGTCATTTGTTGAATGTTTAAAGTTGTTGAAAGTAATTAAAGTTGTAGAAAAGGTGTTGAAAGCTTTTTTGAATCACGCGAGCGACACTTGCTAGGAAGTGTTACTTACTAGCTACTTTTTTACTGAAGTTATACATCTGTCTTTTCTTAATCTGTGCTTTGTGGTGTCGCTTTTGCTAACGTGATAAGCGATGCCCACGAAGGAAAACTCGCTTCGCACGAACAAACTCGTCTAGTGGAAAACGTATTTTATACAAACCACGGATTGATAGAAATGCAACTATCTGAAAGATACAAGGACAACTTCGCCGTTTCGAGCGAAGGCCCTTCGTCAGGAAGTATTATACAAGTCACGTGTGCATGTATACAAGTCACGTGTGCATGTAATTACTCACGCGAGCACATCAATTAGGCATGTAGTAAAACTAGTTTCATATTAATCTGACACTGCAATCGACCAACGAAAAATTCGTTGGCTCGAGCGGGATTTGAACTCGCATCTTCGGGTATCTAGACCGCCGCTCTACCTATTGAGCTATCGAGTCAACAGGGATTGGTAGCGAGTCTTATCCAATTTAAGTGCACGAAATATTTTCGTGACAACTTAACGCTTGTCTTAGAAGACGCACAATTCTATTTCAGAACCATCCTCAGAGATACGAAATAAGATAAGACTCGCTACCAATTCCTGTTGACTCGATAGCTCAATAGGTAGAGCGGCGGTCTAGATACCCGAAGATGTGAGTTCAAATCCTGCTCGAGTCAACGAATTTTTCGTTGGTCGATTGCAGTGTCAGATTAATATGAAACTAGTTTTTCGTATCTCTGAGGATGGTTCTGAAATGTAGTAAAACACTGGCTACCGGGACAACGGAACACCAGCGGAATACCACCGGAACAGCTAAACAAAATCCAAAATGGCGGCAAATTATGAACAGCCGTAATATGTAAGTATTAGTTTTGTTTCTGTTTTGTAAATGTGAAAATTAACTGCGCTTCAAAATCAATGTTTCTCCGTGCAGTGGGACACATATTAAGAAACATTCCTTAGATGTAACATTTAAGTTGGAATAATAACTCATAACTCTTTCTCGTCATATTCGCAATTACAGTATTACGATTCAATTGTTTCTAATGTAAATATCTCGAGTATTTGCCCCATTGAAATCCTCACAAAATAACTGTCGTGGTCAAATGCTGTCAAAACATTACACAAACCAAAACATTAATAATAATATACACTTACTCACCCAGACCAAACATTCCGAATTTCATTTGGAGAAAAAAACTTGAATATATTCTAAACTTTTCGTTAATATTCGCTCCAAGTCAATATGAGTAAAATACTCTTTGTATTCAAGGGTTAGGGTTTTCACATTTTACTTGCTATTACAAACAAAAACCAAACTAATACTTGTATATTACGGCTCTTCATAATTTGCCGCCATTTTGGATTTTGTTTAGCTGTTCCGGTGGTGTTCCATTGTTCCAGTCGTCAGTGTTTTACTACGTGGCCATCAATTAAGCAAGTTGAATGTAGTTCAACTGCCATGGCGCGCTTGCAGGACAGCTACAGCGCATGTGCTAAGATGTTCGCTCATTCCGCGCTGGCAAAGTAACCATAATGGAAAACGTTCTTGAGTAGCCTGTATACCTGCTGGAGATTTTTTAATATTTCTCCTCTTGTTTAACAGTTGCAAGCAATGAAAATACGACAGCAACACAAGATGCAGCAAATGCAACTGCAACAACAACAACAACAGCAGCAGCAACAACAACAACAACAACAACAACAACAACAACAACAACAACAACAACAGCAGCAGCACCAAGTACAACAGTTGCAGCAACAACAACTGCAACAACAGCAACAACAACAGCAACAACAACAACAACAACAACAGCAACAGAGACAGATCATTGGTATTCCTGCTAATCAATCTCCACAGAAACAAATTCCTGACATGGGTTCACCACTACAGGTAAATAAAAAGACATTAATATTTGTTCAAGAGGAAATATGTATATTATTCTCAATGTGGATTATAAGAATTTCGCTTGGGTCTGACAAATGTCATCTCAAGGGTGCAGTTGCTCGGACATTGGCTAATAATGGTCGACCAGCTTTTCAATAGTATAGAGGTTCGTATTTGAGTTCCACTACCTCTAACTAGTACGCATCTGATTGGTTAATGGAATATATCAAACGCATGTGAGGCAAAAAAAAATATGTGGGTTTCCGGTTTCTTCTTATAAAAACTTAGGTAGGGTAGGTCGGTTTTAACCTTTTTTTTAACTTTTTTTTAATTTTCCGAACAACCGGACGCCATTTTGTTTAGTCAGTGCTTCCACATCCAAAGATAAATTTCCCTAATAATGCCTCAAATTTCACTTTTTCCTCTAAGTGAAAACACTTACAAGCATGATCCAATAAAAAAGTTTAGGGTCGGGATTTCGACGTCTAAAAGCTAGGTAGGGTCGGGAAACCGGAAACCCACATATTTTTTTTTGGCCTGACTGGTTGATTGTCCATTAATGGAACTCTGGAACACTATTTGCAAATCAGCTCCTGTGCATGGCTTTTCCAACATCTCATCATTTAAACAATTACTCAAGCAAACATACCTGACTTTATTCAATGCATCCTTTGACATAGACTTCCCGTGTACATGGACACTGTCTCGTGACTGTTCTTGCCATTGAGAATTGGCTTTACATACAGTATAATTTACTATTTTAGTCTTATGTTGACCTATGTTATTTTAACGTTATATTTTAACGGGAAGGCGCCTCGCATGGGTACTTCAGTCCCGTTCGCGCCTTTGCCGATTGGTTATTTTCAAATGTATTTGTACCTATTTATAAATATTAACCAATAAAGTTGTTAAAAAAAAAAAAAAAAAAAAAAAAATGGTAGTGGAAGTCAAATCTGAACTGCTCTAATTACATTCATTGGTCGTGCTGATCACTTCCCGCGTGACGAATCATAATTAACTTTTGGTAAAGCAGTCCCAACGATCCATGCAACCGAAAATTTGTTGGTCCAGTGGATATTGTTTTCGAATTTTTCTGCATGTCTGGTACCATAAACTTTTGTTGCCTGTCACAAGCCAACAAAATGTATAGTGTGCGTTTAAATGAAATCTGCACAGGCATTTTATCTGATCGCTCAACATGTCCGTACACAATAAAATTAATCGGCCATTTAGTGTTTTTGTTCGGCAGATAACCGTTATTATCCACACTGCATGATTATTATCTATACTATACAGTGTACTGTATTATCCATACATATTTTGATAAATACTAGGATTGTCTCCCTCGATAGAACTAAGGTTGAAGGGGTTTTTAGATGGAAATTTTAAGTATAAATTTTCTACATTTGCTGTAGTAACTGCCTGGTACCGAATGAATATACTGTTGTATGCATTAACTAGAAATGAATGATCTTGTATTAGAAAAAGAATATTGCATGAAGCTTGTGCAAAGAACGATCTTAATTTATGTAAGGTGAACTTGAAAGATATTGTTTCTAAGAGCTCTTTTTAAACATAAAGAATGCTTGCTCCTGATATCAACAGGACCACTGTTCCATAATCTTGCTCCTGTTACTCCAAAAGATTTTCCACTCTCAGTTTCTCTTTTATATCTTTTCTCTTTTTTATATATTTTTTTCTCTTACACTAAGTTCATTTCGAATGTCTATTATTCAACTGAGCTACAGAGTCCAGTTGTCGAGCTTTAACCACAAGTTCATGTATATAAGATGGTGTCATGGTAAGGTGTATGCATGGAGTAAATATAGCGTTTTTTGCAGCTGCTACTGGTTAGGTTTAAAAATATATAAAATTTACACTCAAGATTTCCATCTCCAAAAATCCTCCAATATGATAAAATCTTACATTTTGCAGATCAGATATTTGGACACTTGTACAGTAGAAACTTTCTTATGCAATGATCCATGTCTATATTGAGATTGATTTGAAGGCTAAATAGAGGGCGGGGGCTTATTCTTTTTCGCAAATCCGGACTGGGAGCTTGTTGTAAGGTGGGGGGGTACTAAAGGAAGTACAGTAGTTATGTTATAAGATGGCGTCAAAAATAAGTCTTTATTGATATTCTGTTTTTAGATTCCCAACAACAATCTGAATGTTGGAGGAAATATGCCGCCACAACAACTGCAAAAAATCAGCAATCTTAGCAATCTTCTGGCACAACCACCAGCAAAACAGTTGCCCTCGCAACAACATCTACTGCAAAATTCAGAGCTTCTGCAAATTATAAAACAGGTAATTGTGAATTATGATTATTATGAGTGTACGATTATATGGCATAAAGTAAGAATCTATTCTTAGAAATAAAGCCTCGTGCAGACGGGCAAGTTTTATTTGCTCGTGTACATGTGTACGCCACAAATTTGACAATGTTTCTTTGCCTTGTTCCAAAGTTAACCCAGTTACAGACGAGCAAGTTTTCTATGACAAGTTTTTATGTGACAAGTTTTATTTGCTTGTCTGTACGCGCAACTTTGACAATTTTTTCTATGACAAGTGCACTTGTTCCAAAGCTAGCATGCTAGCTTTTGAACAAGTACACTTGTCATAGAAAACATTGTCAAAGTACAAATTTTGTTCGTCTGTATGGGTCAACAAAGAAAACGTGTCATAGTAATCTGAGCGTTTGATGTGATTGGCCAGCGGACTATTATAATTTTTCTTGTCTTATAGTTTAGGCCTTGGTGAACAAGACTGTGTGTGTTACCACTTCTGATTTTTGCTTTATAGCCAAAAAAATTGAGAATTTTTAAATTTTGCCTATTAAATTACTATGATGGCAAAAAATGTAAATTTCATGTTCTCTTATACAAAAAATAAACTATACCACTAGAAAGATCGCAAAAAAACTATATATAAGACAATTAAGCGACTAGTGCGATTTCTCAAGCCGATGTTGGTGCACTATAGCAATAAAGCTTGTCAAGGAAAAACATTGGAAACTTGTTGACCGTACACACGAGAAGGGAAACTTGTCAATGAAAACTTGTCAAGGGAAACTTGTCAAGGGAAACTTGTCAAGGGAAACTTGTCAATGAAAACTTGTCAATGAAAACTTGTCAATGAAAACTTGTCAATGAAAACTTGTCAATGAAAACTTGTCAATGAAAACTTGTCAAGGGAAACTTGTCAATGAAAACTTGTCAAGGGAAACTTGTCAATGAAAACTTGTCAATGAAAACTTGTCAATGAAAACTTGTCAATGAAAACTTGTCAATGAAAACTTATCAATGAAAACTTGTCAATGAAAACTTGTCAATGAAAACTTGTCAATGAAAACTTATCAATGAAAACTTATCAATGAAAACTTGTCAATGAAAACTTGTCAATGAAAACTTGTCAAGGGAAACTTGTCAAGGGAAATTTGTCAATGAAAACTTATCAATGAGAACTTGTCAATGAAAACTTGTCAATGAAAACTTGTCAATGAAAACTTATCAATGAAAACTTATCAATGAAAACTTGTCAATGAAAACTTATCAATTAAAATTTGTCAATGAAAACTTGTCAATGAAAACTTGTCAATGAAAACTTGTCAATGAAAACTTGTCAATGAAAACTTGTCAATGAAAACTTGTCAATGAAAACTTGTCAATGAAAACTTGTCAATGAAAACTTATCAATGAAAACTTATCAATGAAAACTTATCAATGAAAACTTGACATAAACGTCATAAAGTAAGAATTCATTCTTATAAATCAATACATCCTACTCTGGTCGTGGACTATGCCTCGTTTATTTCAGGATTTGTTTAGGAAACATTTTCATCCAAGAGCCATTTCATCAGTTAACAGCCGAATTCTTATTGAGCTTGAAATGTTAAGGCCCGTTTACACTTCGGTTTGCAGTAAACATCAATCTTAAGATCTCAAATTAACTGACTGTTCTTGTCTACGCAATTTCTATCGGGAAAAAGTTAAATTAACCTTTTACCAAGTAGAGATTTTAAATTTTTTAGCATCAGCAGCTGAGATCGTTACAGCCTCAGCAAGCACTCGCTCAAGCAGCTGGTGGGAACAATTCATCCACTCATCATCAGAAAAAGTTTCTTCTTGCTTTTCAACAGCTACAGAAGAGCAAACAACCATTACAACCAGCACAGCTGCAACAACTGCAATCTCACCTTCAGTCAATGCAACAGCAACAACAGATTTCACAACCGCAACAACAATTGCAACAACAATTGCAACAACAACAACCATTAAACCCACTACAACAGCAACAACTTCAGCAAAAGCTACAACAGAAACAACAGATGCAGCAACAAATACAACAGAAGCAACAACAACAATTACAGCAGCAACAGCTGCAGCTCCAGCAACAAAAACAACTACTACTACATAATCAACCACTACAGCAACAACTGCCATTTCAACAACAAAAATTACAGCAACAAACCCCGCAACAAAAACAATTGTTTCCGCAGCAACATTTAAAGCAACTGCATCAAAAGTTACAGCAGCACCAGATTAGCAATCAACAGCAACAACTACAGCAACAGCAAATGCAACAGAACCAGCAACAACAGACCCAACAACAACTACAAACACTGCAACAACAACCACAACACCAGCATCAACAACAAATGCAACAACTACAACAAAAACAATCCCCACAGCACCCAATGCAACAACAAGACATGCAAGAACAACAACAACAACAACAACAACAACAACAACAACAACAACAACAACAACAACAACAACAACAACAACAACAACAACAACAACAACAACAACAACAAAAGGAAGATGCAGCACAACAACGCAATTCACTAATACAACAGCAAGATAATAATAAGCAACAACAACAGATACAACAAAAGCAGCAACAACACCAAATGCAACTGCAACAGACCCAACAACCACAGACACAAAAACGTCAAACACCTCCACCAGAACAACAACAACAACAGCAACAGCAACAACAGCAACAACAACAACAGAAACAATCATTTGTCAAACAAACATCATATGCTTTGCTTACTGAACTTGCCCAGCGGTCACAGAGCCAGGGACAAATGAATACGCAACCGCTGTCAACTGTACCGCGGCCTCAGCAGATACCTCAAGTTACAACGCAAGAAACAATGATTCAAAGCAAAGTCACTTCAAGTTCCGTCCTAAACTCAGATGATAGCAATCTCTATGATCTATTGAACAGTTGAAGTGAAATCTCTTTATATAAATTATTCACACTGCTAATTAATAATTATATATCAATGTAATCATTTTTTGAATAACTATATATCAATGTAATCATTTTTAGAATTCAATGACAATGTAATCAATGACGAATTTGTAGCAATTGCATGCAATAAACGAAATATTTATTAATTAAAGTGTGCAATTATTCTGCAAACTCGTTCACTATATAGCTAGCAAAGCAGGAACGTCGCTGTATATTGCAATTTCCAGTCTCAATGCAACTTACTTAACTTCAAATCCTCATCTTATTCAATAAACACGGTTTCTTTTCATTACTAAATGCTCTTCCTGAGAGCCGGGTATATATAAATAGAATATTTTATTATTATAATCACGTGATTACGATAAGCATTTCTATATGATCAAATGCGCTTTAATTTAAAAATGAAATTTTATATTTTTGTTTATGTCTTGTCTGAAAGTCATTTGCTGGGCTTTAATTGCTGCCGAGCGTAGCTCGGCAGCACACTAATCTCTACACGTGGTGTGCTTACCACGTGACCGCCGAGTTTATAGCCGCTACAATCTCGATTTATGTCATTCTGTCATCCACGGACGGGCCAAAACTAGCTGTTTTGATATTATTTTTTTGTTCCCGGGGGGGGGTTTGTTCACAACATGGCGACTGTTATAAACGGACAGAAATATAGAAATCATAAAATAATGCGAATTTCCATAAAAATTCCGAGTAATATTTGTGAAGATGAATGGGTAAATAAAGCACGGTGTTATTTTTTGTCTCTGGCGCAAGAATGATCGACAATATTTTGAATAATTCAGGTAAGGATGGCTTTATTTCGTTCTCGTATAGTGATGTAGTCGTGCCGTGTGCCCTGTCTACCTGTCTGGTGATATTTTTTATAATACATGAAGGCATTTATATTTAAATCTGCTGTTTATACTTGTTTAGTCACTTTAGTGTATTAAACTTCGATATAGAGGCATTGAAACAAAATGATTTCAAGAATATATCGGCAATTATAATACCCACTGAACCACTGATCTATTCCCGACCAAATCGACAGTAATGATTAATGCCTTTATGCTGATACAAGAAGCAAATGAACTTTTAGTTTATTTGTTTGTTATGTCACTTAATATGTGCAAAGCCAAAGGCGGTGAGTGTATAATAGTGTTCGGTACGTTCTGTTTCTAAATGTTTATAGTTTAAAAACAAACGCGGGATGTTGTTAAATCAGGCTTAACAAGATTCCTAGAGCTACCCAGTGTGGATTGTTGTCTGCATATATGGACTTATCAGCAATTACATGTAATATAGCATATCAACTGACTTTTGTATAAGATATGACTTGTATAAGGCCTCAGTTATATATAAAGCCTATAAACATGATTCTACTGACATGCATTGATATATACATATGGCTGTGTTACCACAATAATGCTCACAACTTCAACTTCTTTCTAACAATATAGTTTTGCAGTTCTGACTGTTCTGAGTATGATCTTATTCATTCAGAAATATAAGCATTGCACTGTATTCAATGGCAAGCTATCCTGGATTCCAGAGCCTTCAGTTAATAATAAATTGAAATATCGTGAAGGCTCTGGTTCAACGGGAGGATTCTTTGATTAAACTGTGCCAATCACAAAACAGAATTAGCAGTTTTAGTACAGATTTTGGGCGTGTTAACCCATTAAGCGCCAGCGCTCTCCCCTTGACGAGTAAAATCGTCTGGCGTTAGACAGAGTAAAGTACTCTGGCGTTAGACAGAGTGAAATACTAAAGTAGGGTGCATCAGGGTGCAATGCGACCCAATGGGTTAACTAGACACATGGGCAGATAGATCAGTTAACCCATTAAGCGCCAGCACTCTCCCCTTGACAAGTAAAATCGTCTGGTGTTAGACAGAGTAAAATACTGTTCAAAGTAGGGTGCAATGCGACCCAATGGGTTAACTAGACACATGGGCAGATAGATCAGTTAACCCATTAAGCGCCAGCACTCACCCCTTGACGAGTAAAATCGTCTGGCGTTAGACAGAGTAAAATACTGTTCAAAGTAGGGTGCATCAGGGTGCAATGCGACTCAATGGGTTAATATAGTACATAACATAGGTCATAGACATACAGTTTCAATACAATACAAAATGATTTTGAACAACGTCAAGGTCAATGAAATCATACAAAATGAATTTAGGGAATATCAATTAAATGTATTTAAAACAAACATAATTTCAACATCCCAATAAGCAATAACATCCCAGTAAGTATAAATTCAACTATTTTAAATCAATTGTTTGAATAGCCAAAGTAAAAGTTGTACAAGTGACAAAATCATTCAATAATATTCACATTTTATCATTTATATTATGTGTCAACTATCAAAGTCGCACTGTTAAGTATATTAAAATATACTTTTCATAAGATTAGATGTAAGATATAATTGTACGAAGGTAACTGAGGAACGATGATGTGTAAGACAATAAATCATACATACAGTGAAAAACGCTCTTTTTGTAGCACATCCTACATGTACATATCGGCAGCATTTTCCTTGCGATAGTAACTCCTAGTTTCATTTTTAAATTACGCTTCCACCCGGTATCAATCGCTACTGTTTTAAAACGCGCTTTACATCAAGTATTACGCTTACCTAATTACATACTAATTGTATACACGCGTAAAAATTGAGAAAATCAACTTGTTTCAAGTTGATATCGACAGGCGTGAACAAGGTTGTGCGGCCCACTATGAACAGTATTGTCAACATGTTTTTACAGTATTGTTCAACTGTAACAACTTGGAACAACATGGTTGACAACTTGTTCATAGTTGGCCGCACAACATTGTTCTCGCCTGTCGATATCAACTTGCAACAACCTGTGCGTTTTTAGCCGTGTAGATAATCATGCGATGGCGAGTACAATTAAGGATTAATAGTACGAGTGATCGATGTTTGGAAATTTTGCCAAAATTGGACGAGTACTATTAATCCCTAATTGTACGAGCAACATCGCATGATTATTAGCATGACAAAATTGGATACGTACTTCTCAATGTCAACATCATATTCTCTCGCCAAAGCCCAGTCCTGCCAGACTTTCAACCAAAATTTGGTGCTTTTGTTTGTATTTTCATTTAGTTCTTTTGTTCAAGCAAAATTTGGTGCTTTTGTTCGTATTTTCATCTAGTTCCTTCACGGGAATTTCATTTCACATCTGTGTTTAAAATACCTTTCCGCCATTTTGTTTGTTTTGGGAAAATCATTAATTGTACTCCTCTCAACCAATCAGCATCCAGTAATTTTGTCATGCTAATAATAAGCGACTAAAATCTTTGCAACAATTGTAATATTATTGCCTAACCAACCCTGCCAACTTTCCCTGTGGTAGGGGACCGGAGCACCCGGAGAAAACCCACGACTTTCGGCATAGCGTTGACTGACTCTTTTCACATGAGTGAAAATCGAACACACGAACCCTGCGAGCGCACCACCGAAGCCCCTCCATAATATATATAATGTGATAATAATTTATTATATGGCTTCTCAAAACTCTCTATTCTGATTGGTTGACAAGCGGTCCGTAAAAACCCATATCCAGACCGTGGTCCGTATTTTCCGTATCTGGACCGGTGTCCCGGATGTCGTTTATCTGGCGGGCAATTTTTGCTTTGCAAACAGAAAACATTTTTGCTTTTTAAATTTCCAATTGTGCTTTACAGATAAAAATTTCAAACAACCAAATTGTTTTTGATTGAGCATTCATGCCTACCGTTTATTGTTACCTAGTGAAACTGACGATAGCCGATTTAATTCGCGCGAAAAGCGTATGCTCACAGAACGCAGTTCAGCCATATAATAAACCGATTATTGACCTCGCTTGTTTGGTCTGCACTGTGAAATATCAGACCTCTGTTTTCCGCATGGACCTCGCTCCTTCGTCGCTCGGTCCATACTAGAAAACCTCGGTCTGATATTTCACAGTACAGACCTCACGCTCCTCTCTCCTCCGCAGAGCCTCCTTAAGTATTTACAAATAACTTACATGAAGTTTCCTGAATAAAAGTGAGCGCGCGCGGTGTGATGGGAAGATTGAAATGAAGTTGGGGAGGCTATGTCAGATAAATGCGACGAAGTATAGTTTTTGAACCAAACTAGTTGTTTGACTTTTTTTTAAACTTGAAATCCACGGAAATGTGAAAGAAATTGAAATGAATCTTCATAATCTGAGTATCGAAGTTCAATAGAGTCATTTTCATAAAGAAATGTTGCAATTAAGAGGATATTTTTAATCAGATAGCTCGTATCCATTGATATTCGTAATTTCTCAATATTTTTCGATGCAAATGGACAGAAGAAGATATTGATATTGAATTCACCCCAGGATACTCGAATACGCCTGAAAATGAAAGTGGAAAACATGTTTTAACTGACCCCCGATGGTTGTTCGAACTTCGCTACAAACGATTAAATACGACGCCATATTGATTGCATTAACTCGCAGAGGCTTCCTTTATTTAGCTCTTCCCATCACTCCTTGCGCGCTCACTTTTCCATCAGTAGCAACTTCATGTAAGCCTTTGCGGAGGAGAGAGCCTCACGCTCGGTCAATAAGCCTTTAAAATAGGAACAGTGTATAGCTAAGTAATTGTTCTATAAACCTGAATCTAAATATAGATTAAAGACGATACATTTCTAAAGGTTTGAATAATTAAAAATCAGCATAGCATGACCTGTTGCTATGAGTGGCTCGCTACTGATACCATTGCCTTAATGGTCAGTTATTACAGTTTTAATCTGATGGTGAAACTGAAAATTCGCTTTCATTTGTTTAATGTATTGTGGACGATATGCTGCCATTTCAGTTTTGAAAATGTGAAGTTGACTTTTTACGACGTAACATGTTTATTTTTAGACCCAACATACACCGCCGCCACCAATTAAAATGTTCGGCATTTCTTTTCAATTCTTTGTCAGAACTGGGTTAATTTAAAACTTATACGGGTTACGAGATGGATTTGAACAAATCAATTTTGATCCGCTAAAAGGTCGCTATCTTGTCATAAGAAATTGAAAGTGTAACACAATTTTCTCCGTTGTGTCCTGAATACCATCATAGGAAAAATATTTGTCAAATTCATTTAATGAAAATTACCACCCACTTAGCGCAACTATGGCGATGCTTCGTTTGTTTCGCGTTGGCGTGATTCCTGTGCCATTAGGCATTAAACAAACCAATTTGAATTCAAGCTGCTAGTTCTCTCTATGTTTGTCGGAGTATAGATTTTATTATACTTCAACTTTTTTTCTCGACATAAAACATAAGCAAGATTGAATAGAAGATTGAATGTAAGAAAACATAAGCAAGTTTGAATCGGCATTCGACTGACATTGCCGTTAGTGTTGTATAGCAGCGAAGCATACAGGGTAAGATATAAGCGAAATATGATCTTTTAACGTTTTACCTTGGGCCCGCAGTAATTGGCAATAAGCTGTTGCGGTGACCCGGCCACACTATTTTGTTGTTTTCATTTTAAATTGTCATTGCAATTTTATACTGGCAAAGTTAAGAAATAAATAAAAGTTGACTTTTCGTTAGAGTATTATCATAAGTCTGTGATGACTGTGTTCTCCTGCAATGGAATTTACTTCCAGCTGTTTCTAGTGTTGCAGGCATTAAAACACAAGTCACAAATTACACTTATGTACGGGGCTGTGGAGTGTGGTAAGCAAAGAGTACTTTCAACATCTCGAAGTTTATAATTTGTCATTTCACTTTTGAAAATAAATAAATCAGTAAGTGATTTAGGACCCATTTTATTCAACAATTTAATTTAATTTAAACATCAGTTTGCCATATTGACAACCAACTAACTCCGGCCGCATGCCTATAGGGTTAAACTGCCAATACGGAATGGTAGCATAGACTGGGCGACTCTCCCACTACAAAATCCCTACAGATTCCGTATAACAAATCCAACCGTCCAAGTTGACGTACTTTTCAAGCACAAAGATGTCTTTGTCTGACGACGGGCCTTCACTCGTAACGTGCAAGTTATACTTGTACTTCAGCTTGTTGTATGTCCTCGGTCTTTGTGAAATACGCTCTTGTCTGAAAATCGGTTATTTCCCCTTAATTCGTCTTTGCCGGTACTTATTTTGGTATATGAAATTCTCGAAACTATTTTATGATTATCATACAATAAATTCTTTCATCAAGCTTAAGTGGATATCATTTAATATCCAGACATTAATGATTTTATTTTAGATGTTGGTCTTCCTGATTCTTTTTCTGATTTCGACTTCATTGGAACAGGGTAAGATACATCGTGAATGTGAATCAGTATCCGCATGTTTAGTAAATATAGGAAGGATTATTTTCTCTTTTATATTTATCAGAACAGCAGGAAATAAATTCTTTGTTTTCAAGTTAATCATTATTCGACGACAAAACACTGTTTGCTTAATAAATTATACGCGCACCATTAAATTCCTAAAAGGCTGAAAAACTTGTTGACCTAAAGAGTATAAAGTATATCAATTATTAAAGCAATTATTTTCCTTTGCTTTTGAACACATGCACGCTTTACGCTTATATGCAGGTATGCATGCGCCTTTCGCAATGACAGCATTGAATTTGATCTGAACACGTTCCAAAGCTAAGTGTGATATTCTATTTAGCAATATTTTGGAAAAAAACTTTTTATTAAGAGATTTTAGCCAATAGACTTCGTGATATTTGCTGTGGACCGCGTAGTTCAGTTGGCAGAGCATTGGGCTAGTATTCCAAAGGTCGTAGGTTCGAATCCCACCGTGGCCAGGCATATTTTTCAAGCCTGCCCGGTGTGGATATACACTCAGAGTAACATCACACAAGCATTTAGACTTCGTTTGGACATTTGTACCCACTTTTTCCGAAGATGATATTCTTACTCAGGAGAATTACGTTAATCCGTGCATAATTTTGCACTGCATGTTCTACACAGTTTACGTTTGTCAAAACTCTTCATTAGTGCCAAAAAATGCCAAAGAATTATTTCTATAAAAGCCGTTCGGACGTATTTGTTAAATTAAAATACTTTTAAAATGTCATAATTTTGAAAAATAACATTTGCTAAATTGTACAAAAACCAAGCAAACTTTATTCAGACAGCAAAATGTTGCTTAATTTATTAATACAGCAAGTATTTTCCATACAGTGAAATACACGTATATATTATTTAACTTATTTACACTATTAAACCAGAATTAAAACAAAATGTCCTCAGTAATATAGAAACAAGTCCTTAATATAAAAACCATTCCAAAAAACAACAATATTGACAAGTTAAGAAAGTCATTGGAACACAAATATGTAAAACACATAACAAACGACACGACGCATACATATCAAGTTAAAAAGTCATTAGAACACAAATACACATGGTGTATGAGTGGAGGAGCCCCTAAGATCATATTCTGTTATGTTATGTTATGTTATGTTATGTTATGTTATGTTATGTTATGTTATGTTATGTTATGTTATGTTGTGTTGTGTTGTGTTGTGTTTTGTTGTGTTGTGTTGTGTTATGTTACCAAATCGCACCCGTTGCCCTCAGCAACGTTCCGTTATCACTGGCTACTTGACTACCACAAGACGTGCACGAAGTTCAGTCTCGGCCACCCCTTTGCGATCTCAACCAAAGTCAAGGATTTCATTTTTATGTTTTTTTTTTATCTTTTGAATCTAAATAAAATGGTACGTTGGCGTAAATGGAAAGCTACATTGCAACACGCCATGATAGTCTGCGAGCAGGCACCCCAGATCGACACGCAAGATTCCTAGACTAACTTGGTTCATACTTTAATTGATAGCTCGGTTCTATTATTGTTCTCCCTGGAGATCGAGTATCGCCCATTCCGCCTGGCGCATACGATAGATACTTGCTGAGGTAACTGCCTCGTGTGGCGACTACTTCAACATGTTTCTCGTGTGCGGATAGTTTTCGTAAGGATTTAACCTCTCGAGGCCTTGAGGAAAATATCTGGAGAGGAAAAGATCTCAACGTCTGCAGATGTTGTGAACCTAGTTTAGTGCTGAGCTGCTTAAATTAAGTAGCCAATGAGAACCCACAGTTTCTAGATATGACGTTGGTCAAAATGGCGACAATGGAGGGAAATGCAAACGATCTTATCAACGATGTTGCTGTTGATCAGTAGTTTTCTCAACGTGCGTGCATGGTGAAAATGCATAGCTGCAGGGCTAACGGCTATGCATTTCGAGGTGGTTAACTCAGCAAGTTTTTCTCGTGTGCGACGGGCTTTAAACGTCTATTGTTATTACAGGAAGAGATTTTAACTAAACTAACTTTATTTGTATCGAATGGCTCTGTATCAGTTCCGCGCTGTTCTCCGCAGAGATCTAGTAAGCGCCATCCCTAGTTGATCCCAGGTTATTGCAGGAGAAAAAGCGCCATCCCGAATTGATGGCAGGTTACTACAGGAGAAAACCTGAGATATTTGAGACTAACTGGAAACACTCTCCGCGAATGCAATGGAGGAACTTTTAGCCAATTCAGAGTTTGCACTGCGCATGACGTAGTCTGTGTTGTGATAAATTGCAGTTGAATCGTAACATATGCATGTGGTTGAGACTGGAAGATGGGCCAGGTCAATCATTATTTGTGTTTCACTGGTAATCATATTTTGTCTTCTGTGTAAAGCAAAAGAAAGAAAGAAAGGTTTACCTAACTAATTGTTCTTTTGAGCAACTTTTGCATATCCAAATGATAATTGAACAGTTGAATATTTTGACATGCATATTCGTATTCTTCCTGTCTTAGCTTCATGTTATAGTTAAACAGCAAGTTATCGCGCGCATCATTTCAATGCGCAGTGCAGACTAGGAATTTGCTGATAATCAGAGTATTGGACTATTGCGGGACAATATTCACACCTCAGTCACAAACCACATGCCATAAGCACTGGGCTACCAACATAGCCCCTGACACCTATGCGCCTTTTGTATAATTCCTAGTGAAGAATCTATATTCTTGATTTTCTCAGATGATTTCAAAACGAAACGAATACCTGATATTCTGTATGATCAACTAAATATCAAAGACAAGGAACTCTTGAACAAATTAAAGAAATATGAAATTGTCCATCCCGAAGATGCAACACCTATTGCCAATGAATTCCCAGATTTTTATAGCCAGGTAAATAATTTTTTCTGTGGCTGCGTGTTATTCTTTTTTTCATGTCATGGTTCACTTAAATTTGGTCTGCTTTGTTATCAATATTTCATAATTCAAGAAAAAAGGAATTATGAAAGGAATATGTTTTGCAGGATGAGGCGGTTGAGAGAAGTATATCTTTCCTGCAAAATGGGAAGAACGTAGTCCTTGATCTTGTTCCAAACAGGTTTGACATCTTATTTCTTTAGTGAACTACTAAAATGCTTAATATTAACTGGATACTGACCAGTGCAGCAGCTGGCCATAATAGATCAGTTAGATCCCGTTTGTACCGAATTGAAAATATTTCATGCTATTTACAGAAACTTGGTGTCACCTCGATATAAGGAGAGATATTACCTTCCCGATGGAAACGCTGTTTTGAGAAAGGTTTGCTAAAAGGCTATAAATTCATAATGTGAGTGAATTGGGTGGCATCAGGTTTATAATATTCTTGGCCTTAATTTCTTCCTGTAGCGAACACACAACTGTTTTTTCCATGGTCATGTAAGGAGTGAAGAGAATTCAAATCTTGCTTTGACCACATGTGAAGGTTTTCAGTAAGTTGATATTTGTACTACTCAGGGCCGCCCAGATGGGGGGGGGGGCAAAGATGGTAATTTTCCCCGGGCCCCAGGCTTAAGAGGGCCCCCAAAAGGGAATTTTAGGGACTGGAACAAGTCCCCAGTACCTTCCAAGAGGGTATTTTGCCCCGGGCCCCCAAAAAGCTCTGGGCGGCCCTGCTTGGACTGGATACTTCTGTCGGTTCTAAACTGTTCTCTCTATAGAGAAGTCATCATTGAAGTCATCACTTATTGGTCCAGTTTTACTACAGGGAAGAACCTAAACTAAGTTAACTTTATTTATACTGGATAGCACTAACATTTCTAAGCTGTTCTCCCTAGAAGCCTAGTAAGAGTCGCCCTTTATTGATCCAGTGTTACTAAAGGAAGGAACCCATTAAACTAACTTATTTTATACTGGCTAGCTCTAACAGTTGTGAGCCCTTATCTGTGGTTTGTTTTCATAGTGGTTACTTCAGAAGAAATGACGAGGCTTTCTTCATTCAGCCATTGTTTGACCAAGATCAAAAGGTATAAATTTCATGTTTGCCATGCACCACGCCCAATATTCACTGTACTGTTTCGTCATTTTACTCTTACTGTAATGTGGTAGCTAATTGTATTTGATGTGGAAAATTATTGATCATTTGTAATTTTTTAGGGAGTCGCCCACGTCATCTATAGTCCCAATGATATTATTGGAGAGAAATTTCAATGTCGTAAGTTAAAAGATATATATAAAAACTCAAAGTTAAAAGATATATCTAAAAACTTTAAAAAAGTTATTTTTAGAAGGTCATTAATAATTCATGAGGGAAAGACAAATGAAATCATTACCTTGTCGATGGTTTTATATGTGATTAAAAAATCATGTTCATTTACATCAACTTTAGCTTTGATTTTTTCGGCATAGACAACGTTTATTTTTAAAATTACTTCGCCAATGAACTCTTTAGATGGCTCGTTTTTTAAGCCATTTAAAACATTAGTCCGCTAGAACTGCATATTATTATTGTATAATCTTCTGTATTTGTATAGTTTTCTCAGGGACCTTCTGAAAAACACAACTTGTGATGTTGGTTTTCCTGAATAAATACTATTATCAATCAATCAATCAATCAATCAATCAATCAATCAATCAATCAATCAATCAATCAATCAATCAATCAACTGTTGGTGCTATCCAGTTATAATATTCTATTTTCCTATTTAGTCTAAAATACACACACCAAAATCTATTCTATACACAAGCGTCCTTTTTCCACGAGGTTTCTTTCTCTACCCCCTTTTGTCCCCTATATCCTCTAAATCCATATCGGTCCCTTAATATCAACTATGGTCATAATATAATACAAAATAACTCAAACAGAAACACTGTATCCCTCCCCCCTTTTAAATGTTAGTATCAAACAATATTTAAGCGTTCATTGTTGATCCTGAAATGTTTTAATCCAAGACAAAGTCTTTCAACCGTGCTGGTAGCTTGTGTCCACGTACAGGCTGTCTCTCCGTTGGCTTGGTTTGATGTTGTTCACCTGTTCGAGAAGTACAACGTTTTTGATCTGATCTTTTCTCGTTCGGTGTCGGCAATTTCCTGACAAACGAAACATTTTGCATGATGCACGGTTCGTCTCCACGTTTTAAGAATACGCTTGGTCCTTTCTTCTTGATTATAGTATATGGTTGTGGATCATACGAGGAGGACAGTTTGTTTTTCTTTAGTTCTTTTAACAGCACGACATCTCCCTCCTTTATCGTAGACGAGATGGCATGTTGGGTCTTGTCAGCATATTCTTTTGTGCGTTGTTTGTGGTTGTGATCATGTTCACAAGCAGCTTCTAGGGTCGGACTTGGCTGGTCTACACGGATATGAGGCAATTTTGTTTTAATTCTGCGACCAAAAAACAGCTCGGCGGGAGAGATGCCAGTAGATATATGAGGTGTTGCTCTATACATCATAAAAAATTTGGGTAGTTCTTGTTTCCAATTGCGACCTTCCGCGTGAGCAGCTTTGACAGCTTTTCCTAACGTTTTGTTGAATCGTTCAACAGTGGCATTCGCAGCAGGCCAGTATGGTGTAATAAGGCGGTGTTTAATACCACAACTGTGTAGGAATGATTTGAACTCGTGGGAAGTAAACTGAGGGCCGTTGTCTGATACCATTTCTTCAGGGTAACCAAACTGGGAAAATATGTTCTCTAAACGATTGATAATGGTAGTGGCTGTAGTAGAACTCAATATTTCGACCGCGGGCCAACGAGAACATGCATCAACTAAGACTAGGAGTGATTCGCCGGTGGGAAAAGACCACAGAGGTCAATATGGAGGGTATGCCAGGGTTCAGTTGGCATCGTCGACATGTGGAGAGGTTCGGGATTGGTTTTTGGTCCTTGAGCCTGGCAGGGAAGGCATTGACTGATCATTTTATCAACATCTTTGTCTATTCCTGGCCACCAAACTTTTTGGCGGAGAAGTTGCTTCGTTTTCACGATGCCCTGATGACCTTGATGGGCGAGCTCTAATGTAGGTTTCTGTAAGTCAAATGGAATGACGATTCGTGTTCCACGAAGGATGATGCCATTTTGGACACACAGTTCGCTGTTAACTTGCATGTATGGTCTGAGATCTGGTTCTTTTGGCCATGTTCCGGATGTAATGCAGGTATGGATGCGTTGCAGTATAGGATCGGCGAGGGATGCTTTCTCGATTTGTTCTAGTGTCATGGCTTTTGGCACGCTGTTTGAAACGATGTAGTTGACATATTCGTCGGCAATGGACCGTTCAACATGTGGTTGGTGTGGGAGTGGTAACCGGGATAGAACATCAGCAGGGTTCTCGGCACCAGGAATATACTGGATCTTGAAATGATATGGTTGTAATCTGAGGGCCCAGCGTTCAATTCGAGCGGGGAGTTTGCGTTTGGGGTTCTATATGATTTCTAATGGTTTGTGGTCGGTATATATTGTGAACTCGGTGCCATACAGATATAGGTGGAATTTCTCGCATCCCCAAACTACAACGAGAGCCTCTTTTTCGGTTTGGGAATAGCGACGTTCAACATTTGATAGGGTGCGACTGGCATAGGCAATAGGCTTAGTTATTCCATGTTGGGTTTGGGTCAGCATGGCTCCGAGCCCTACAGGGCTGGCATCAACACGGAGGTGAGTTGGAGCCGAGGGATCGTGGTGGGCCATAACCGTATTGCCAGTAAGAAGATTCTTCAGGGTGTCGAACGCGTTTTGGTGGATGGAATTCCATTGCCACGGAGTGCTTTTCCGAGTAAGTAGACGGAGAGGGTCGGCAACAGTTGCAAAATTCGGGATGAAGCGCGAGCAGTAGGTGGCAAGTCCCAAAAAACTGCGTACTTCAGCTGCATTGGTGGGTATTCTTGCTTCACGGATAGCTTCAACTTTCTTAGTGTCGGGACTGACCCCAGATGCTGACACTTCGTGACCGAAAAATGTGAGGTTGCTAACACCAAAAAGGCACTTATCCTTGTTCAGGGTGAGACCCGATTCTTGTAGACGTTGGATGACATTGTTAAGGTTTTGATCGTGTTCATCTTTGGTTTTACCGAAAACAATGATGTCGTTGGATATGTTTCGCACACCAGGAAGACCTTGTAAGATCTGTTGAATAATGTGTTGGTAAACTTCGGGTGCTGAGGAGACACCAAACATCAGTCGCGTATACTGGTATAAGCCCTTTTGGGTTGCAAAGGTGGTAATTGGTCGAGATTCAGGGTGCAGTTCAATTTGGTGGTAGGCAGATCGTAAATCTAGTTTAGAGAACACTGTGGCTCCTTGCAACTCTTGGAGGGTTTCTTCGATAGTAGGGATAGGGTGGCGTTCACGGATTATTGCAGAATTTGCTTGACGCATGTCGACGCAGACACGAATGTCGCCATTAGGCTTTGGTACTGCCACAAGAGGTGAGACCCAGGGGCTAGGCCCCTTCACTG